TGTAGTACTAATAATATTGTAATGATAATATCATAACAATAGTATTGTAATGATAGTATCATAATGATAGTAATAATTGATATGCTATACAATGATTTTCTGTAAGATAAAGGTTAAATTTTTTAAGTTGAGCAGCAACACCAGTTCAATATCCAAGTATTGTACTAGCTCTATCATTTCCAAAATGAGCTAAATTTTTAATATTAAGAGATTTTGCAGTTATAAACCTTTTAAGATCTTTACTAATTGATTTTGCATCACAATTGTTAAGTTCAATTATTCCAAGATATCGCAAAACTGGTCTATTTTTAGTAAGATATTTAGTTACGATTGCAAGATGTTTAGCAGTAAATAAAGTACTTTTGTCAATTAAAATACTCCAATTTTTTGATCAACCAACTCTTGAATAATTTCGTATTCTATAATAAATGCTATTGATACAAGAAATATACGTCCTGATATTAGATTTTCATATAAAATATATTCTTGTATATTTTGACTAGATATTTCATCAACTGGTTTTAATATAACAGAATTTTTTTCAAAATAAAATTCATTATGATTTTTTAACTACAATTGTTCTAATTGACATAAAACTGAATATTGTTTCATAGCCTGGTTATTTTTTGAAAAGTAATAAATATTTCGCATTAATGATATAAATTTTAATTTTTGAGTACTTAATTGTTAAATAAACCCTTGCATAATCATAGTTTGCTGATTATCTTAATTAATTGCTTTTCGATAATTATTAATTGCAAGATGTTATTCAAATATTTGTTTTCGTAAAAACTGTGTACCTGTCGTAAACTAATTAACTTTTTTTGCTGCTTTACACCAAGAACAAAATATAGTAATTACACCATTTTCATCTTCATGTATTTTAATCTAATAATAGATTTTAATAAAATTTGGATTCCAATGAGTATGAACTTTTTTATAAAGTTTATTTTTAATATTAGAATCATTTTGTTCTTGATTACTTTTGCTTGACTCATTACTACTTTTATTGTTTTTTCATATTCAATTGAAGTTTTAATGCTTTGTTGAATTACAAATTTATCTATAGTTTTTAAAAGTAATAAATGGTATCAAAATTTTAACTTATGAATATTATTTCTTTATATATTGATTTTTGTTTATTAAAAATACAAATTTGTTACAGAAAACTTCATATATATTATTATTGCAATACGATTATTACTATCATTATGATACTATCATTACAATACTATTGTTATGATATTATCATTACAATATTATTAGTACTACA